AGGTCTATGGAGTCTATAAACTTCGGATTCGGATGGGGTTGCGGCCTCAGGAGTCGTCATTTTCTCAAATTTACGTCCATCTTCGTCGGGGGGTTGAGGCATCACGGCAGAATCGCCAATGGCCCCATGGAGTCAAAGGATAGGCCGCCAATGCTGAGTCCCTTAGCCTGCTAAAACCTTACACAAATAGGTCGCAGCACCCTGAGTCCGCGTGCTGGCAGGACCTTACCGAGTTTTAGGCTAGCGCACGAATCCTCAACCTTGAACCCAAAAGGACAAACAAAAAGAGATCATCCGAAATCTTGGGCTTGGAGCCTGTAGTGTGCCTTGAGGGTGAACCTCTGATCTTGAGATTCAATTGGGTGGAAAACCCCAACACCAAAGCCCAGAACATGCCGTTATGAACCGCCAGTATACCTGGTGTCGGTGTAGCTTTATCACCTGAAGCTGGGAGTCCGGCTGAGTAAGGGGAGCTCCAAAAGAAGCCCCGACTACTGATCTGAGCTCGCAAACTGTGACCGCTTAGGTGCCAAATCACCAAGTCCCAAACCCAGCTTCAGAGATCACAACTCCAACATGTTCCCAATGTGTTCTACGTCTATTGCAAGTTGACAACAGCGACGGCGATGTGGGAGTTTACCTACTGGCGCTTGAGCTGCAACGCGGCAATGGATCCTTCACACTTTCCCTAACAAGATCTCCTCCAATGCATGGTCTAGCGCCTAGCGCGGCTGCTAAACCCCTTTTGGTTAACTAACCAGTTTCGTATTATAGCACCCTAGGCGTGGAACCTGGTTCACAAAAAACGAAAAACAGTGAAGACTGTACCTAGCGGCCTAGGCGCATGGGGGGATTTTGGGCATGGCAAAATTATGTTCAGCCGCGTATGCACAAGCAGGGTTGAGACTGCGCCTTCCTTATCATGCCTGAGAACCTCGAAAGACTTGATAGAGAAACCGGGAATGGAACGACACTTGAGCCCAAAATCCTGAACCCTATTATAAACACTAATTCCCAAACGCTGAATCCCGAAACTGAAGGTTAAGCCCTACCCAACCCTAAACCGCTAAGTCTAGGGCTTTAGGCTGCTGCCCGCCTAACCGTGCAACTTCTGGTGGGCTCGAGGTCATGGATGGAAGCTTCGCTTCTGGGGCTTTTTGGTTTCAGAGACGATATGAAGCATCTGCCGATCCTGGTCAAGTGGCATCTGCCCCTTTGGGACAGAAAGCACAGGAACCCAATGCCAAAACTCTGGTTCTTCAAAGATACCAGAGAATGTCAGCGTGCAGAAAGGACAACGGTCATAAGTCTTTATGTAAACGTATGTAAACATGACAGGTCTGAGTGAGTGCACGTGTCTTGTCTGTGAATATATAATCTAATTATCTATGCACGACGATTCGATGTAGATGCATGTGGCAGCAACCGCACAAGAGGCACGGTTTGCATTGCTTCAGCTTGGCATTTGGGGGTTCTCTGAAGAAAGGGGAAGTTCACATAGATGATTCGGGAATCGCACAGCTGAAACTGCTCAGTTGAGCACAAGCGCGTCATAGTGCAAGCGACCCTGGTACAGGATCGGCACGTTACGACCACCTCGTGGTTTCTGACGCGTGGCTTAAGTCATGTGGGGCCTTCCTGATTGGAATAGGGCAGTGGTGCACACATTGCAGACATACAGGGCCTGGTACGGCAAATATACTAGTCATTCAGACCCCCTATATGGTACGACTCAGGGTTTGGACGTCAGCTGTCTCTTGTTTCTTTAGGACTACGTAGTCGGGATTAGGGCTTAATTAGGCTCAGGGTGTAGGGTTTAGGTTTAGGGTGTAGAGTTTAAGGATTAGGGCCAGTTTAGGGTGAAACAAACCTTACGCGGTGAGCCCCGGTACGACCAGAACTTTGGGGCTAATCTTGAATTCCAAAAGCCACCGTTTTAGGAATGATCACCAATACTAAACGGTCATACCATACGATTTTTGTGTCGGGTTTGGGGCTACAGGTAGTTCCTGTTTCACAAAACCTTCCCACCTGAGCCGAATCGAGCAATGCGGGCGTACCCTCTGCGGCGAGATTCATAGACTTCAATGCTGATGTTTTTCATCTGTGCAAGAACCTCAGTTGTCTGTGCTGTTATACTTAACAACGACATGTCCAGAAACTGTTGTCCACTAGGCTAGTTGTCTTGGGTTCATGGGGTTCATGAGACTGAGAACAAAGAGGGCAATGATTGCAAATCCCACTGTTTAAGACGTCCATGCTCTCTAGCAGCTTATATGCCTTGAGTTCAGGCGCAACAAGGAGATCAATGTTAGAAACACCGAACCATCTTTCTACAAATAATCTGTCCAGGCGACGGCCAGCTCGATTCCGCCGCCCCAGGCGCCGCCCCGGAGGCTTTGGACATAGGAGCCGACATCGACGTTGGCATCCATCCGGATCCACTCTGCTACGGGTGTCTCCAGGATTTGCATGTTGGGGTATGCGGCGATGGTGTCCTCAATAACACGACATGCAAGCAAGGAAACCAAGAACCTAGGGTTACCGCGAAGCGTCTGTATCCCAAGACCGCGCATTTCGCAGCCAGAAATCCCCAAAGCCTCTGTGTGGGTATGGGGCTCTACGGCTAGGGCTAGGTTAAGGGTTCCAGGTGTGCGGTTTAGGTGTTCGGACATCTCACTCAGGCAAGCTTCAGCCACGCTCTTACGCAGTGACCCGGCTGTGCTTCCGTCGCCAAGTCCATACGACACCGAGTGGAACATGCATGAGCCTGGGCTGCGCGCTTTGGGGGAGTTTTGCGTTTGGGGCACAGGGTCTGAACCCAGTGCCTTGAACCAAAGACACTTCCTGGACCCCCCCAACTAGCCTGTATTAGACCCTAAGCCATAAGGCCTCTATTAAAGGGCCCTTCATTGGGGGGTCCTGGTTAGCCCTAAACCCTAACCCGAAACTTAGACATGACAATTCTTCCGAAGCTAGCCTTGATCTCATAGGCTCCATAGCAGTTCCTTTTTGGGATTACCTTGTAAGATTCTAAATATGAACGCCAAAAAGGAACTACTATGGGGCCTCTAGGTGATCATGAAAACACCGAAGCCACATAGCCGAAATCCTAACACCATAAGCCCTAGTGTAAGCCATCAGCCCGAAGACCCTAAAACCCCAACCCTGAATCCGTCGCACCCCATCTCACAAACCCTAGTAGTCCCGTTGAAATGCCGAAGGTCGGCATATGCAAAACCCCGAACCACCAGCGTCTCTTTCCAGGAGTTAAGTGTCCCGGGTATTGGTGCAATGTTTAGGGTCTAATTTCAGGCTCGAAATGGTTAAAACGAGGGATTCAATCTTTGCGGCTCACTTATCGTCCACATTATTGCTTTCAGGCACTACATAAGTGCTGAACAAGAGGACTCCGATGTATATGAGTATGTCTGTCGCGTTAAGGGAAGGACCTACGCACCAAAAGGATGCTTTCCCAACGAGTCCATGTCCCTATGCGAGACATGCTTTAGACTTGAAAAGGCTCCAAAAGTCTATACTACATGGGCCCCTGGAATCTTTGGCTCTGACACTCCGACTAGGAACCAAAGTAGGTACTGCTTGTATGCTCGGAGTCTTAGTGAGGGTTTTCGTGCCCCTAAAGGGTCCAAGTACCAATAATAGTAGGTACTCCGTGGCATGTGTGGGCCTTTAAACTATATACTATAGGTGCTATACTATTACCTAATGTTTGGGCCCCCAATGGATATACTTTATTCCTTTGCGTCTAAGGGGCCTAAAACTACTACGTGGACCGTTTTCCATATTACCATAGTGTATTATACTGTACTTTTCTATTCTATACTACACTATACTACCCTTTGTTCCCCTAAGGCTCAAAATAGCCCAAAAGCCTTATGTATATAGTATGGTCTTTGGGCCAAAAAGCCTTAAAATGTGAGTCCTTAGAGCCCTAAGGGTTTGGGTTTTCTATTCGATACTGCACTATACCCTAAACCCCAAACCCTAAACCCTGAACCCTAAACCCCTAAACCCCAAGCCCAAACCCTAAACCCTAAACCCCATAAACCCTAAAACCTGAACCCTAATTCGTTTCCACTCCCTATTGTAGGACTTTAAAGCTTTTTTGGGTACCAAAACCATAAATAAGGACTACCTGGACCCTTAGGGCCTTTGTTTGGGTCCAGGGAGCCATCCCCCGGCTGGCGAACAACGCGGGCGCGTCTAACGAACTTTGCCTCCGACTCGGCTGCGCCGACGAGCTTTGCCTTGCCCTTTAAGCACCTGAGAGGCTCTAGGGTTTACCTTAACCCCGAAGAACCTACATTGTTAAGGACATATATAAAGAAATCATAATAAGGAACCCTAGCCCTTCAAGCACCTGCGAAGCTCTAGGGTTTAGAGTTTAGGGTTTAGCTTGGCCTTGCCCTTCAAGCACCTCAGAGGTTCTAGAGCTTCTAGGGGATACCCATAGACTCCATAGTAGTCCCGTTCTGGGATTGCCTTATAGGATTCTATATATGAACCCCAAAAAGGAACTACTACAGAGCTTCTAGGGGACAGGGGCGAGTTGGGGATCCAGGGTTTTAGGCTTACGGGATCTTGATTGTTTGGGGTTTCAAGCACCTGAGAGGATCAGGGTTTAGGGTTCAGGGTTTGTTTTTGAGCTCCTTTTTATGTCTGCTCGGCTGGTCGTGCTGGGTTTGAGGTTTAGGGCACCTGAGAGGCTCTAGGACCTCCAGGGCAAAATGGGTTTAGGATTCGAGGGTATGGGATACTTGGTATTGGGGCTTGTGAATTGAGATTTCAAGCAGCTGAGAGGCTCTAGTAAAAGAACGAACGCTACCAGCACCACGTAAAAAAATCGAAGAGCTCTCCAGTCCTAAACCCCCAAAACGTAGATCATAACCTTGAGCACTGACCCCTAAACCCTGAAGTCCTGCACCTGGAACCCAGAATCCCTCAACCCTAAACTTCAAATCCCCGAAACCTCTAGACCCTAAAATCCTGATTGAATCCCTAAACCCTACACCCTACAGCCTAAAAACTAAACCCCTAAAACCCCAAATCCCTAAAGCTCCAAACCTTGGCCCACCTCCTCCAGAACTTCCTTGTCCGGGGACAGTCCCAAAGCTCGCCGGAAGATTCCGGGGCTCTCCAGCAGCTCTTGCCAACCTGGGTTTGGGCTATAGGGTTTAGGGCCCTTCGGCTTTTTCGGCTCTTGGGGCTCAGGATTTTTTGGGTCTATACGCGGCCTTTGCCAGATAGGGATTACAGTACTGCCACTTTGCTTTAGGGGCTGGTGTTTAGTTCCACGCAATGGGGGAACTTCTGAGGGAACCTTGCAGATGCTATGCTTTCTTTTGGGATATAAGCTGGTTCACCTGGCAACCGTGTAACACACCGGCAAGACCCTTGCAGATGCCAAAACCATTAAGCCCGAAACCTAAACCCTGAACAATTATTCAACCCTAAGAAAAGACCTCAAACTAGGCAGTAAAGGGTTCTTTGATGATACTTGGACCAGGGTTCGGGGAAGGTGATGGCACTGCATACTTGTATGGGGACTATAAGCGGATGCTACAGTATAAACCCTTGAAGAAGCCTCAAAGCAGCCCTCAAGCGTGTGTAAACTGTTCCAAAGTGCTCCGACCCAAGTATTAGACCCCTAAACCCTGAGCCCTAAGCCCCGAACCCCAAAAGCCAGGTCAGTAGCTGACAACCTGTGGCCCGTTGTCACCGAAGACTAAGACGTGCACGAGCTCGGGCCTCGCAGGGTTTTGCTTACTGGAGTTTGTTTATAGGATACGGCTTCTTCATCGGGTTTGCAAGGATTGATGTAGAAGTCTGAGTGATTAGCAATAAGATCGCTCCTGAAAGTCCCGAAAACATTTATAATACGACTGATGCATAGGGTTGTGGCGGAATCTATTAACGCCCCATTGAAACCCGGCCAACATCCCGTAAACACATCCTACAAAGGCCTGCGCAGGAAGCCAAAGTCCCGGGCACAGGCCTGCGACCTGAGCGCTTGGGGCTTGCGGTCTTTAGAGCTTCCGGGGCTTCGGGCTTAGGAAGTTCTGGGTTCATAACATCAAATCAACATCAGCAAAGAAGGCAACCAGCACCACCACCGCCGCCACCACCACTATCACCATCGACGTCGCGATCAGGCAATGGTCAGCACCGGCATCTTCGTCCACTTGGTCACTGTCGCCCTTGGCCATGAGTCACTTGCAGTCATCATCATGTTAGTGAGGCCGTCAACGTCCGTGCCTTCCATCTCCATTATTGTTTCCCCATCATCACAATCGCCCACCACCACCAACACCACCAGGGTTATCACTGGCCACCATACACGCCACCATCATCACCCGCATCAGCATCATCAACAGCAACGTATCGCCACCATAATGCACCCACCAGTGGGTGAACCAACGCCAGCAAGCTAGCAGGACAGCAGTCCATCAATCCACAGCAAGTCTAATCATCATAATCAAATGCATTCGTTCATCAAGCAGTTGGCCAGTGAACAAGTTAGTTTTCATTCAATCCAACTCTTTCTCACATTCATCCGTGAACCCACTAGCCCATGATCATCATCGCCCCATCACTCTGTGGAGCTGCTGCGGGAAACTGGAGAGTGGGTTTCCGGTTTTCCTACCTACTCCCTCTTGTGCTCTCCCTCAGCAAGCCTGAGCTCATGGCCCCAAGTAGCCGATCGTCAACTGCAGGATCAGGATTCCGTGCCGTGTCTGCTCCGCCGCCTCCTTGAAGAGCAGGTCGCCAACGTCGCCCGCTCTTTGCTCTGCAGCTCCGGCCTCCTTGGGATGGCCCACTGATCCTGCCGCTCCCGCCGGCACAGCACTGAACAGGTAAAAACTGACGCTGCCTTGGAACGCACAGCGAACACAAACAACAACGAGGGTACTACCAGGTTTCCTAGAATGGCTTAACTTTTGAGAAAGCTTCGGGATAACTCCGCTCCAAGTAACGGAAAGTGCCTCCAAATTGAATGCCATGCTTCAACTGATGCAGGAGATGAGACAGATGGTGTTCAGCGATGCCATCCAAGTTGGAGATGAGGAAGTCCACATCTTTTGCCGCTGCCTCGCCTAGAGACTTCAAACACTGCGGGTCGGCTGCAGCACACTCCATCCCTGATCCTTTTGGAGTTTGCTAGGACCTGCTAGGAGCTTCAACGGCTGCGGACAGTCCAACCCTCCTGCTGCTGACTCTGGCACGTCATCTTTGGAAAACTCTCTGCGATCTCTGCTTAGTTACTCTCTTGATCGAGGCCCGACATCGTGTTGAGGGTGATACCGATGGTGATACCGGGAGCATTTCAAAAGAAGGAGGCATCACATGCGCAGCAGGGAAGGGAAGAGCCTGCAAGCACTCGCAGATCTTACTTACCCTTTGCTCGCCCTCGTCGCCGCCAAGGGTATTGTCAGTATTGTGAAACAAATCCTTCCGCTAAAAGTTAACAGCAGCATCCGCATGCCTGAATGTTGATCCTAAACGTAGGAATGCGGCCTACAAGGGTGCTGTTAACGTGAGCTCTGCAGTTGCAACATTACGATATGCGGATGGCTGTGTGCTCACCGCAAGGCGCCTTTAGAGTGAACCTTTGAGACTCTCATGGGTCTGGAATCAGTGTGTCACTTTGGTCTGACAAACTCCCCGGCGCTTTACGGACAGTTGCAAGCACCTTCAAACGGACAAAGCACCGCTGAAGCATAGCTTCGAAGAGGCAGAGCACTGCCTCCGGAAAAAAAACTCCTCACCCTGGCAATCTGACACTGACATGCCTCGCTTCAGGCAGGTGTGGCAGCTGTGAAAGCAAACTGTTCATGCCTCCACTTCCTTTGGAATCGTGTCACCCGAGCGTTGGCGACGATACGTGTCCGCTCTTTTGCTATCAGCTACATGGAGAACCTCTGGCAAAGCCTTGCGGTTGACTTGTCTCAACACATGCCCAGGCGACCCTCCTGGTATGTAAGATGTCGAAGTGCGGATGCACAGACCCCACGCCTGTGTAAGCATTCAATATCAGCTGGTTGTGGCTGCTGCTTACTGTGTCTGCATGCGTCCCCAATCTCCTTGTCGGCTACATGGAGAAACTCTGCGATTCTACTAAAGCAAGGCCTTGTGGTTTAGTTGTCTCAACCAATTCCCCAGGCGACACTGCTGATATGTACATTTAAACGTCACTGCCTTTGTCGGCACAGGGATCGCGACACGCTGCCCGTTAGCGAAAACCATTGCTTTGCGCTCCTGAACAAGGGCAATGAGGTATGTAGGATTGTCGGTCCCTGTTGAGGGTTGCCACCCGCCCCTTCTATCCTCCTTTCAGCAGCTGCAAAAGCATCCTGCCCGGAGTTTCCTGCAGGGAGGCTTTGCGCAACGGCTGCTGCAGGCTGTTCAACCTTTGCTGCTAGGCGTAGCGCCCTCACCACGAAAAGAGATCTGAGGTGCTGTTGTCACAGGATGCTCGCTCTATAACCTCGCGACAACATGCTCACTGTGTATTGAGTATATTATGTCATATTGAAGTATAATATTCAATCACATTTTGGTGGTACGGATCAGATCTAGAGGTTTAGGGCTCAGAGGTTTCAAGTTTAGGGTTGAGGGTTTGAGAAGAGTGCTTCTGCTGCGCACTTCCGGTTTGAGGGTTGAGGGCTTTAGGATAGAAGGGTAGTTTGAAGTTTAAAGTCGGCGGGATTGTCACATGAGGCGAGCTAAAACACTCGCAACAGCATGGTCATTGGCAAGCCCTCCTGGCAAAAAAGCTGAGTCTCCGTGAGCAAGAACAACTTAATGCAAGAAAGCCGGAGGCACAGACCCCAACATAGAACTCAGCAAAAACGTAGAATCTGGGAGCCTGGATCCAAACACCGCTAGACCCAGCTGACCCTCCGCTTCCAGCTGAGATGTACCACGAAATAGCATGTTGAAATGTAGTCTACGTTTCTGTGGCCCTGCAACTACTGCGCTGCCTGATGCTAAGCTCCATACTTTGTCAGAGGTACCGCATAAAAATAAAAAAACAAAAAACCACATGCTGTAGGTGGAGCATATGCATGTGGTCCGTGCATCAGCAAAACCAGATTGCTGGGTGATGGTGCTCGAAGTCTGCACCCCTGAGACCTAAACCTCGAAGCACCGAACTTCACAAACAACACCAAAAGAGCCACATAAAAAGGGAGAGAACGAGAGAGCAAACGCAATTCATGGCGCACATCTTTGTGGAGTGCCAACTTGAGCACAAGCCTGCAACGTCCAACCGCTCTACTCCGAGTCCAACCCTAAACTCCTACACCTTGAATGCCAGACTCCAAACCCTAAATCCTCAACCCTAAACTACTCAGCTCTGAACCTAAGACCTTGTACTGCCACCCGATGCCTCGGCGGCATCTAAAACACCTTGTTTCGGGATGCAGGGCTTTCCACGTGCCCAGCAGACTAAGTCGCACCGCAGGAAAAAAGGGTTCAGGGTCTAGCGTTTCGGGTTTAGGGGTATCTTTCACGTTCTTCAAGAAATTCCGAAGGAGCTCGTTTAAGGTTTGCCTCTTGAATTTGGGGTTCGCTTGGGTGGGGCCTTGTGTCCGGGATGACATGGGTGTTCCTTTCTCCGTGAGGGCTGCCACACTGTTACAGGTTCTCAGATCCCGTCTTCTCTACGCAGTCCACGCTCATCGAAGCCTTTGAACGGTATCAACGAAACCAGCACCACAAACAGCTTCATGAAGATCATGGTGATGACGATGATCATGATGATATCTAGTGGAGATTTCACTTTCCCGGCGCATGCCTCGCAAAGCCCTGACCGTTCTTCATGCAACAACATGAAAACCTCAAAACCAAATCAGCACAGCAAGCAATGCAGCGAGGAAGCCCGAAACCGAAACCAGCCCAACAACATAATCTACCAGCCCTGAACTCTGAACTCTCTCCACTCCCAAACCCGTTGGAGCGTGAACCCTGCAAGCTGGAGCTCTTAGAGGATCCGTGTAAAGGGCCGAAGCTTAATTCAAAAAGCTGCGCCCAATCCCTAAACCGTATAAAGACGTCCGACAATGGAACCCTTCAAAATCAACAAAATACATAGAACCTTCTAAAAGCCTAGGCGGCCAGTACATCGGAGATCGAGCCGACCAATACATACAGGGGCATCAACAGTTAGAATCGGGTTTTGTAACGGCTTATGTTCTTTTCATTCTTTATCAATGATTTCCGAGCTTTAATTGAGGACTTTAGACGGGTTCATTAGGGTTTTATGAACCCTAAACCCTCTGTGCCATTCGTCGCAGGATAGGGCTTTGGTTTAAGAGGTTAAAGGCTTAGGGCGTAGGTGCAGCGTTCAGGACCTCGCGTTTAGGACGCAGCGTCTAGGGTGTAGGGTCCAGGGCTTAGGGTTGAACGTGTAGGCTGCATGTGCTCGCATGCGCGACTGATCGCTTGTCGCAGCCCGCTGGACTCGCCTTTGCTTCTGGGGACAAGCCCCTGCCCTCCGACAGAGGACACAAGCCGGCATCCCCACATACAAAACCCAAGAGACACAGAAACAACCTCTCCAGCATTTTCCCGGCTCAGACACCAAACCTTTGGCACTCTGCGAAGCTTCTGGAGCTCCGGGCAAACGAACAACCGGAAGACCTATCAGCAGCAGCAGTAGCTGGCAGAAGCAGCGATAGCAGCAGCAGCTGGCACTGGCAGTGGCAGCAGCCGTGGCGGTGGCAGAAGCAGTAGCAGAAGCTGTAGAGGCGGTACTGAGGGGTCACTGGCAAATCCAACTTTACGATTACGCGTAAGAGTCACAGAGTTGACAGATTAAAAGACATAATGACCATAAAGGCAATGGTAGCAGCCCAAACCCACACACCCCTTCCCTGTAGTAACGCCAGACCCCAGAAACTACCGTCATGACAAGTGTATGCATGATCTTCTGAGAGAGGAGTGAGAGCAACCATACAAGTGCAAGGCAATATAGCACAAGACTGTACGGAAAGAAGCAGACGACGAAGAACTGCAGACCGCCTAAGCCTTTCCCACCATGAACTCGGGCATGGAACGTTTGTACAATCCCATGAGGACAGCCACAGAAAGCCTGACAAATGCGGGGCTCTGTAACCCCCCACGAGGGTGCCTTCGTAGTGCGCATTCCAATTCCAGCCATGCGCCTTGCCAGTCTTCCGCAGCTGAGGAGTAGGAGCGGCTTCTTCTCACAATCTTAGATAGCTTCGAGGGTGCCGGATCCGAAGTTAGCGGGGGAGTTTAGGAAGGACTCGAGGCTTCAGAACGACAAGCCTTCGAAGGAGGTCTTCGAACCTCAGGGGTGCTCCAAGACTTGTTCTTAGGTGCGGTATGCATAGTTTTGCAGCCCTCGGCTGGCCTTCCAATCATTCTGCTTCCAGGTCTTGGGTGCCTTCCATTTCTTCCACTTCGCTGCACCACCTGAACTGCATACGCTTCCGGTTTTAGGGGCCTGTGGTTGGGCTTTAGGGTTGGGGAGTTCAGGGTATAGGCATGATTTTAGGGCCTGCAAGGTGCTGTTCATCCTGTCCTGATTTTCGCTTTGCCTGGTCAGTCCTCGGCTCGGAAGCTTGCGTCCGAATCCAAAAAAACCAGGCAACTCAATCTGAAACCCTGAGACCTCTCAGCAAAGGCGAAACATTGAAAATCCTGTGCCACGAGTGCCGCATCCCAAACCGAACCTCAGAGACACTGCCGCAAAGAAAGCTTCCAAACTCCGTCCTCAACTCGCAATTCTCAGCAGGATTGTTGAGTCCCAACCCTCCAACCCTAAGCGACAAAACCGGAAACAGTCAAGGCTTGACCTGCTGGCTTCCATGCGTCCGTGTCTTCCCAGGAGCTGCCTCGCGTTGAAACTAAAGTGCTAAAAGAGCTCGTACAACAACGAGCAGAAACGCTAATACTCCTTCTAGCCACTGCCATGGTGATCGTTATCATAAGTGCCATTGCCGCCATATTTGACACTTGTGGCATTGCCATGCCTAGTCTTATCCCTTCGCACTGCAGTGGTATCATGTGTCTTGCTATTTGTACATGCCCCCCTGTGGCTGCGCTTACTGCCTTGCTTAGTATACAGAGGCAGTGGCAGTAATAGCGATGTAGCCGCGGTCAGTGATTCCTTAAACGGATTCCCTCTACCTACCTCTTAATCCCCTCCCCAGTGACCCCCGCCATGAATTCAGCCACAGAGAGCCTGACCAATGCGGGGCTTTGTAACCCCCCACGAGGGTGCCTTCGTAGTGCGCATTCCAATTCCAGCCATGCGCCTTGCCAGTCTTCCGCAGCTGAGGAGTAGGAGCGGCTTCTTCTCACAATCTTAGATGGCTTCGAGGGTGCCGGATCCGAAGTTAGCGGGGGAGTTTAGGAAGGACTCGAGGCTTCAGAACGACAAGCCTTCGAAGGAGGTCTTCGAACCTCAGGGGTGCTCCAAGACTTGTTCTTAGGTGCGGTATGCATATTTT